TGACCTGTCCTGGGGCCCTCCTGGGCCCCAGAAGCCATGCGAGGAGATGCCCCGGAGCCCAGGGGAACCGCGCCAAAGCCAAGAAGAATGCGAAGGCCTTACGTTCGGTGCCGCCGACCCTGAAGGGGGACGGCGACGACCACGGCGGCGGCGACGACGACGGCGACGACGCTGACGTGGGCCAGAGTCCTCAGGGATGCTTCTCGGGGTCTCTTCGGAAGGCTCTCGGGGCCTCTCGGGCGGACTTTTGAGCCCTCTTGGGAACCTCTTGGGGCATCCTTCGGGCTTCCTTCGGATCCTTGTGGGCCTCTTGGGGCCTCTTGGGAGCCTCTTGGGGCCTCTTTGGAGCCTCTCGGGGCCGATGGCTCGAAATGTCCGTTCGGGTCAGGGCACACTCTTGGAGCCGTCTTGGGGGCCTCTTGCGCCGTCCTGGAGGCGTTGTGGGCTGTCTTGGGGTCCCCTTGAACTGTTTTGGGACCCTCTTAGGGCGACCTTGGGGGCTTGTTGGGCCGTCTTGGAGCGGCGGGAAGAGGGAAAGGGCCATCAATTAAGTGTGCCTCTTGGGGCCCTCTCGGGGAGTGTGGTTTTGGTGGTGGTTTCGGCGCCCTTCTTCGGGAGGGGAAAGAAGAAGGAAACCGGAACCGGAACCGGAACCGGAACCGGAACCGGAACCAAAACCAGGATAGAAGAACGCCGGAAGAAGGCAAACACAAACCGGAACCAAAACCAGAACCGAAACCAAAACCAGGACTTCGGGAACCCCTCGAACCAAAGAAGAAAAAGGAAACCGAAACCGGAACCGGAACCGGAACCGGAACCAAAACCGTGACCTAGGAGGCCTTCTTCGGGGCGGGGAAGAAGAAGGAAACCGGAACCGGAACCGGAACCGGAGAACCATGACCGGAGGCGCCCCTGGGCACCGAGAAAAAGAAGGAAACCGGAACCGGAACCGGAACCGGAACCGGAACCACGACGACCGTCTCAAACGAGGAAAGAAGAAGGAAACCGGAACCAGAACCAGAACCGGAACCAAAACCGTGACCTGGAAGGTTTTCTCTGCGGGCGAAAAAGAAGAAGGAAACCGGAACCAAAACCGGAACCGGAACCAAAACCGTGACCTGAGGGTCTTCTCTGGGGCGGAGAAGAAGAAGGAAACCGGAACCGGAACCGGAACCGGAACCAAAACCGTAACCTGGAAGGTCTTCTTTGGGACCCCGAAGAAGAAGGAAACCGGAACCAAAACCGGAACCGGAACCAAAACCGTGACCTGGGGGGTCTTCTTCGGGACAGAAGAAGAAGGAAACCGGAACCGGAACCGGAACCAAAACCAAAACCGTAACCTGGAAGGTTTTTTTTGGGACCCCGAAGAAGAAAGAAACCGGAACCAAACCAAAACTGGAACCAAAACCGTGACCTGGGGGGTCTTTTTTGGGACCCCGAAGAAAAAGGAAACCGGAACCAAAACCGGAACCGGAACCAAAACAGTGACTGGGGGGTCTTCGGGAGCCCGACGAAGAAGGAAACCGGAACCGGAACCGGAACCAGAACCAAAGCCGTGACCTGGTAGGTTTATTTGTGCTCCGAAGAAGAAGGAAACCGGAACCAGAACCGGAACCGGAACCAAAAACCGTGACCTGCAGCTTCCTTGGCTTCGAAAAAGACGGAAACCGAAACCAGAACTGGAACGGCATTCAGAACCGTGACCTGCGGTAGTCCACATGGCATTCCCGTGAAGAAAAAACTGGCACCATGAGGTGCTGTCTTGGAGACGGAGGTTATTGAATAGCGGGTGCTCCCTTGGAGATGGAGTCTCTTGGAAACAGAAGCGGCGGGCGGGCGGGCGGGCGGGGGGCGGGCGGGCGGGTCGGGTTTTTAAGTAGACCTCTAGAGAGTGCTCTCTGGCAGCGGGGTCTGTTGAGTACTGGGTGCCTTCTTGGACACGGGGTCTGTTGAGTACTGGGTGTTGTCTTGGAGACGGAGGCTTGTAAATACTGGGTGCTCCCTTGGACACGGAGTCTGTTGAATATTGGGTGCTGCCTTGGAAACGGGAGCTGTTGAATAGTGGCTGCTCTCTTGGAAACGGAGTCTGTTGAGTAATGGGTGCTCTCTTGGAGACAGAAGCGGGCGGTCGGGCGGGCGGGCGGGGGGCGGGTGGGCGGGTCGGGTTTCCAAATAGACCTCTAACGAATGCTCTCTGGCAACGGGGTGTGTTGGACACGGAGTCTGTTGAATACTGGGTGCTGCCTTGGAGACGGGAGCTGTTGAGTAGTGGCTGCTCTCTTTGAAACGGAGTCTGTTGAGTAATGGGTGCTCTCTTGGAGACAGAGGCGGGCGGTCGGGCGGGCGGGCGGGCGGGTGGCGGGCGGGCGGGTCGGGTTTTTAAACTAGACCTCTAGTGGGTGCTCTCTGGCAGCGGGGTCTGTTGAGTACTGGGTGCCTTCTTGGACACGGGGTTTGTTGAGTACTGGGTGTTGTCTTGGAGACGGAGCTTGTTGAGTACTGGGTGCTCTCTTGGACACGGAGTCTGCTGAATACCAAGTGCTGTCTTGGCGACGGAGGTTGTCTGAGTAGCGGGTGCTCTCTTTGGGACGGAGTCAGTTGAATAGCGGGTGCTCTGTTGGAAACAAAAGCGGGCGGTTTTTAAATACACCTCTAGTGGGTGCTCTCTGGCATCGGGGTCTGTTGAGTACTGGGTGCCTTCTTGGACACGGAGTCTGGTGAGTACACACGGAGTCTGTTGAGTACTTGGCGCTCTCTTGGCCACGGGGTCTGATGAATACTGGGTGCTGTCTTGGAGATGGAGGTTGTTTGAGACGCGGGTGCTCTCTTGGAGACGGAGTCTGTTGAGTAGTGGGTGCTCTCTTGGAGACAGACGCGGGCGGTCGGGCGGGCAGGCGGGCGGGGTGCGGGCCGGCCGGGCTTTTACATAGACCTCTAGTGGGTGCTCTCTGGCAGCGGGGTCTGTTGAATACTGGGTGCCTTCTTGGACACGGGGTCTGTTG